GGAAACACAGGGAATCCAGGACAGATGATCCCTTCAGGACTAGTGCTGAGAGTGGTGATACCAGGAGGTGGGAGGGAGGGTGGGTTGGAAAGGGGGAACCGATTACAAGGATCTACATATACCCTCCTGCCTGGGGAATGGACAACAGAAAAGTGAGTGAAGGGAGATGGTGGAGGGTGTAAGATATGACAAAATAATAATGACTTATAAATTATCAAGTGTTCATGAGGGAGGTGGGTGCAGGGAAGGAGAGGAAAAAATTAAGGAGCTGATACCAAGGGCTCAAGTAGAAAGAAAATGTTTTGAGAATGATGATGGCAACAAATGTACAAATGTGCTTGACACAATGGATGTACATATGGATTGTGATAATAGTTGTACAAGCCCTCAATAAAATGATTAAATTTTCATAAACGCCAAAAAATTGGCATAATATTATTCATAAAGTTATATTCTACATCTTGGTTTAATTATTTGTGTGTGCGTGGTCTTAAAAGCTTGCAAGCAGCCATCTAAGATACAACTATTGCTGCTTTTACTTGTCTGGAGTCAAAGAGAACAAAAAAGAAAGTAAAAACTCAAATAAGAAACTAGTTTACAGGACAAATAGACTACAAGAATCATAGCCTCATTTCCCCTAAGACCCTACAACCCACTGCTCTCATCAGGACCACAGTAAATGGGCCCTGATAGAATGGGGTAAAAATGCAGAATAGACTCTAAAATTAATTTTTAAATTTATGATCTGCTAAACAGATAGATACCCTGAGAGTATTGTGCTGAGATACTCATTAAATTTTGAATCATAACTAACTCCTAAGGTTATCTAGTAACTAAATACAAATTAACTCCTAAAATGAGTATAATCCACAATTCCTTTAAGACAAAGATGAAAATATAAGGGCAGAAATAATGAAAATGTTCATATATTGTGAAGATTATAACAAAGATCACATATAGAGATTGTTGAATGAGAACCTAAACTGCCGTGTAAAAAACACCAATAATAAATTATTTTTTTAAAAGATGCACTCCAACAGCATAAGAAGTGTGCAAGAAGGCTGAATTAATGTTAAATAAAGATTCCAGAAAGCCTTCATTATTTTATTCCATGATCCTCATCAAGCTGTGAGACATTTGTTAAAATATTTAGGCATTTCTTTATCAGAGGGATTATGAACAGTATATAAATTTACACCAGGATGTAGCTCTCATTCCTAGTAATATTCTTTCCTCACTGGTCAATTTTTTTGTTTTTATGCATAGCTCAAATATCTACTACTTTCATTATAAAGGAACTTTCTATAGTTTATTTATTTATTTTTTTTTTTTTTTGTTACATTCCAAACATGTATAACCAATGAAGGTGGCCTAGG